TTTTTTGATTTTCAAACAGGTGGGTGTACAGTTAACCCGTAGAAAGTGTTTTTATGGTATTTAAAGTTATAGCCCAGAGAAAAATATGGCGATATTTTAGTGCTATAATTCGTTTGCAACACATTCTAATATTTTGCATTTCTGTTCGATCTTGTTTCGGGCTCCAAAGAAACCTCGATTTATTTTATTTTTCACTCAGTCAAACCATGAAGACCTGAGCTGAATGTAAAGACCATTGAAAGATTCTCAAGTGGCTGCTGTGCGACGCGCAAAGCAATCAAATTTTCAGAAAATTTAGCATAACAGGAAGTAGATTTTGAGCTCAATTGGGGCACAATCGTTTTTCGCAAATTTCTCCCCAAAAAAGCTGCATTAGCAGAAACTAACTATGGTCCATTTGTTTACTAGCTAGGGCCAATCTATGGGCAAAAAATGAGCAAACTCGATTTTTCGACTTGTGCCGTTGTTTGGTCCATAGTTATGGGCACTGGCTCTTAAGACTCCAAATTGTAATGCTAGATGATACAGTTCTTTCACTTAAAAATCTGGTCTGGTTTTGATAAAAGAGGAATCACAAATAACTCAAAAATGTTTTGACAGCACTCAAAGCTCAGTCAAAAGTCTCTCGAGTGTTTTAGCCCAGTTCCTGAAGTGACGTCACTGGTAGCCTGACCCAGATCCCACTTTGCTCGGTCATTAACATAGAAATTACATGTTCAAATGCCTGTAGAAATACAGGGATTTGATCAATCAAGATAATTTTTTCGCTGAAGTAATCAGAGAAATTAGTAGATTTTATTAAAGGAAAAAATTTTTTTTTGGGGGGGGGGTTTAGTGGCACCTTAATAAACTTTCTTTAACACAACAATACCTGGTCAGCTGTAAGTACTTGAAGAGCTCTACCTCCTTTACGAGCTGGGAAAAGAAAAAAGACAAAGTTTGTTATATATCATTGAAAAATGGTTCTTGAATCACAAAACAGTATTGAAGGTTTTTGTTACCTGCATGACAATGTTGTTATATATTAGTAATAAGTTCTGACTCCATTATGGTAGCTTACAAATTACTTCAAGTTGTATTTTGGCAATTAAAAGATCTTAGCTCATTAACTCCTGAACCAACTAAAATAAAAGTAGGTATCCAAATACAAAACCTGGAAAGTCCAAACAATCAAAGGCTCATCAGCTAACTCAACAAATGAACAGGCAATGTAATTATAGTAGAAATTTGCCATCTCAAACCCGGTTATCTCCAAATCCCCCCTATCTCGAACTCAAATTATTTCTCTTAAATGCAAAAGCCATTTGGACAAGAATGCATGACAATTTATGTAAAAACATGTTAATCACGCATGACAACAGTGGAAAAAATATTTTGTCACAACTTTTAAAGGCCCATTTTCACCCTTGATGCATTGAGCACCATGATACTTTGATCCTGGATTTTGTGTTACATGAAATTACCGAATTTTCCGAAGCAAACTTGCATAGCTTGTTCCCAAAGCAATCCTTGGAATATTTTTAATTCTCTTGCTGTAAATACTTTCTCTTGTTGTCATTGTTTATATTTCTGAAAGTATTTTGTAAATATTCTGTATATATTCATAGATTTTGTTCTGTGAAGACTATGTGTGCCTGACGAAATGGCCCCCATTACATGCCGTCGTGTTGGGAGACCAAAGTTACCTGGCTCTTTGAAGTCGATTCGGTTCAGGGAATCTGTTTTTAATTTCTGGAGGGATAGAAAAGAAGCTCTGGGAATTTCAGAACACACAGACAGTGAGTTTGCAGAATTCCTGTTACATTGTTGAAGGTGAGGTTTGCTGCTTGACAGCTACATGGTGTAAACCATTTGTTCTGCTTCTTACATAAATTTATTTTCCTGTGTTGCCGATACACATCTCCAGGCAGCATTTGTAGTCAATTTTCTTCCTTTCCTTATTAGATCAAACACCAGTTGTGAATCTGCAGGGGTAAATTTACCTCTGTCTTGTGAAGAAGATAATGATACAAGTAAGCAAGTTCTTTTTATTATTGTAAGTCTCACATAAGCTTTTAAGCTTATACATGTACAAGCTTAGAAACTTACCTAAGCTTAGATTTTATTTTTTGTGTGTATATTTATTCGATAAATATTTAATGTTCTTATAAATAGGTTATTTACAAACATATTATTTGCTGGTTTATTGTAGATGCAGTTCCCTTGTTTTCTACCCCTATTCGTGCAAATCGTGCTGGTGAGTCGCCCTCAAGTTGTGTTGATGTCACAGGGATATCAGACTCGGGGAACAAAGAGAACCAGATCCAGGGCATTCAAGAAGTCAACTGTTTGACCAGACCAATAATAGTTTGACTGGCAACCCATTCTCTGCTGGTGGGGTTGAAAGTGATGACAGCCTGTCTGAAGAAGACTCTCATACATCAGTTGAGCCTATATTTGATGATCATCATTTTCCTGACTTGGAGCAAAGGAATGCAAATAAAGGATATAGCATTGTGGCGCAAAGAGATATCTTTTTTTTTCAAGCATTAAAAACAATATGACAAGCACAGCAAGTAGAATATTTAAAAATAATTGGATGAGGTTGAGCAAAATATTGTGTTTTGTCAGACATGAGCAGATCAATTATTTGCTGAAGCCGAAGGTTTGAGCAAATAATTTATCTGCGTGACTCTGACAAATCACGATGTTTTGCGATAACCAAGTTCAATAATTGTTTTATAATTCGATCACCAGGTTTGCTTAATATTTTAATCCCTTCTTGACTGATCAGGGAAGCCATCTGCCATTTTTCACTCATGAATGTGGTTTCAATTACCCATGGGCAGAATATTATTTGCAGCAAAACACATTGAGATGTTACTTATGCATGAGCATACTGTTATCTGTAGCCAGTTATTTGCAGGTCATGTAGTGGGATCTCAACCAATGGAAAGGAAGAAAAAATGCATCGAATGATAAAATTCATTATTGATATCTTCAAGCCACTGAGGATATGGAAAATACACTACTTGGATCCCGATGTAGTATTGTATGAATTATACAATTAGTGTATTTTCAACTGTGTATTGTGCAGTTCCAGAAAAAATCCATACAACCCCCACGTAAGGGATTGGAATTTCCTGGGGTTGGGAACGGGGGGGGGGCTCTGTAAGACCAAACAATTAAAGAAATGTATGAAGTTTAATTGACAATTCAAGACAGAGTGCAGTTATGACTCATAGTAAATGAATGTCCCATACATTCAACCAATATGTAAGTCATAGTTCACAATGTCAAAAATTTCACAAGATTTTAATGTACTTCTGTGTGCAGTGTGAACATCATTGTGGAAGATCTTAACAGGAGTGACACATCTAGTGATGAATTCAGTGATTACGATGAATGGAGTCTTGATAGCTATGGCAGTCCTGAGCATCCTGAAGTTACAGTTGCTTGGTGAAAAGTGAGTAGGGTCAACCTTCAATGATTAAAGTTAGTATGCAAACACCAGTTTGTGAAAATACAAATATATAATTTTAATTGAAATATAGGCTTGTAACATTGCCTGTTCTGTATGCATGTTTGAAGATAGGCACACCATCATATGTCACACAGTAAAGAGTTGTTCTGCAGTTCATCATGATGGGGCTGGGAGGGGGCTGGGGAGGGGGTGGTGAATATTATAGCAATTAATATAATAATATTATGCTGCTTATTCACAGCATGGACGTCAGCAGTGAGGAGGATGAAAGAACCCTTACAATGGTTGATCCTTCTTATGGTGCCGAAGATGATTCAAGCTGTGTTCATCATACTGCTGCTGTAGCTCCTTGTATTGTTGCTGAAACCCCTTAACCTACTGACATTGATGATGTACCAGCCATGTTTGTGGCGCTGCTGGAAGTTCTGCTATCACTGAGGCCCTTCAACAAGAATTAAGCATGCCCCAGGAAGAAGAAACCACCAAATCAGCAGAGAAAAATCAAGTTGAAATTCTTAAGAAGCTAGAGGATGCTTTCCAGCAGCTTACTAGCAAAGGTGATCTTGAGACATTACTAGTCCTTCACTCACGAATGAGGGTTATGGTCTCCATCAATAAGCTTCTGGAACTTTCAGGAGATAAATGCGCCCTTGGTGGCGAGGGACTTCATTTGAAGGAAGATGTGAAGACCATTGGGTCCAGAGTTGAGATCATTCGCATATGTAAGAATGGGCATTGCCAGAAATGGGTGTCCTCAGAAGTCTTGCATGTAGGAGTGAAGAACAATGTAGAGTTTTTCCTGAATGATTCCCTTCTTGCAGCAGCAATAATCATTTCTGGGAATAACTACAGCAAATTTTCCTTGCTATGTAAAGCCCTTAGATTAACTGTTATCAGCAGCAACACATTTACAAGATTCCAGAAGCACTGTGCAGCCCCTGTGGTTGAGGAGATTTGGGATGAAATGAACTCTTCAATAACTGGTATTCTTCAACAGTATGACGACTTGTGTTTGTGTGCTGATGGCAGGAATGACTCTCCAGGACATAGTGCAAGATATTGTGTCTACATGCTAATGGAGCATGCCAGCAAAGTAGTTGTGGACATGGCAGTTGTTGACAAAAGGGAGACAGGGGGTAACTCAGATGTCATGGAGAAAGAAGGTCTGAGACGACTTCTTGAGAAGATGGCTAGTGTCCTTCCTGTCAGTGAGCTTGCAACAGATGCTTCTTCATCAATTATGAAGCTTGTGCATGATATGAAAGGTATGCTTATGTTGATTGCAAATTTTCATCTCGAGCATCTCATCAGCCAAGTCTTAAATCCCTTTATTCTCAGTGTTTGGAATGGCTACCCTTAGAGGCCTTGAGTATAAATACATGTATTCGAACTTCTTTGGGTGCAGTTTTTTCCCCATATAAACCCCACAGCTGGTGATTACTTGGTATATTAAATAGTAAACAGTTATTTTCATCAAGGAAGTAAAGAAACCTGGACTTGATCACCAACAGTTGTGCTTGTGCCTTGAGAATTATAACTATTGATAAAACAGCAATCAGAGAGAGCTTCATTGTCAATAGGCCCTTTGCACAATCCGGTCACATGTTTCGGAATTAAGTATGCTGGGACACAAGTTACACAGTGGGACTTCCAAAACAAAGGAACCCGTACCAGTCCAGCCCGATTTTCCTTTATTTTAAAAGTCCCACTGTGTAACTTGCATCCCAGAATAATGAATTCCATGCCATGTGAGAGGATTGTGCAACAGGGGTATTAACTAATAATAGCTGGTTTTGTTTGGGTAGAAAAATTTCCACAGTTGTTGGAACTGTTTCACTCTCTTGATATTTGGCACAAGGCAAAGAAGCTGAGAAGTGTCTTCATCAAGTAAGTGCAGGTTTTGTCAATGTCATTTACATGTTGCATGTATGGTCTAGTTTCCCAAATGAAACAAATGTTTCTAGTTGTCTTTGTTCTGAGTAAGTTGGCCACCCTACTTTGTATCTTTGAGCTAAATTTGCCTCTGTTTTTGTTTTGTTTTGTTTTGCTTTTTGCAACAGGCTGCTCACATCAGAGGATGTGAACCTCTGAAAGAGTGGATTGATGACATTGTCAACCACTTCTGGTTTTGCCGTCAAAGTTGTGATGGAGGTGTGGATGAACTGAAGGTTAGAAACAATTTTTTTAATTGAATATTGTGCTAGACAGGAGTGCCATTGTTGCGTGATCTACACAAAGCAGTTTTGCTGTACAGTTTTTTTCCTTTGAGATGCAATTATCTTACTGTTGTCTTATTGTTTGGTTTGAGTGCATGACACTTCATCTCACATTAATCAGAATCTTCAGCTGAACTAATGTTTACTGTCTTATTAATGTTCATGAAGTTACCTTGGACTTCTTGTTTCTCTAGTAATTTTTTGTTTAGCTCTAGTAGCGTTCATGTTTATCATTTTTAATTTTTAGAAAACTTGGTTTGGTGTTCTTCACCATGTTTGTGGGGAACACGAATGGGCTGGAGGAGCCTGCAAGCATTCCCCTGATGAAACAGAAACTTCAGGAAAGATGTATTCGGTGAAGTCTTCGAAATCTGTAACAGCTCTCAGGGAGGTTGTTTTAGATAAGAAGTGGCTTAACAACTTGGAGTTTTATGTTTGGTTCAGGTTAGTAATTTCCGTAGTCGGCAGTGGTTTTATAAACTTGAAAACTGTTAATTTTCTTGCTTTGGTCAAAATGTTTCCACCTCCCCTTTCCTCCAGCAACCCACCGCTGCAGATGAATCTCACACATTCCATACATAAAGTAAGCACTTAATTATTAGAAATTGGTTGTTTCTACATCAACGCTTTCTTTTAGAATTCATGGTGACTGATCATGATAGGAAATTAGGACACTAAAGTACTAATTTACCATTCATAACTTTTAGTTTAATCATTTATATAGGCATACAAGTGTCCTGGAGAGCTACAATAGTATGCTCATGAAATATGCTCCAAAGCGCATGGCGTTTGAGTAAGGAAATCAATCTTGTGTATTGTGTATGTCTTTCTGTCTTTGCAGGTCTTTTGTCAGGCCCCCTTCTGTCAGAGACCACATGCAGTAGCAATATAAAGATCAGTGTTAAAGAAGTTCCCCACCATTGATAACCTATATTAAATTTTTGCTGTAGTCTCTTCTAGCAAAATTTTGTAATGATTACTTTCAACTTTTTTAACTTGTTTATTTCAGATATCCCTACTTTATCATGAGGATAATGTTAGCTGTCATCGATCATAACATGCATCTGTCAAGAGGGAAGCAGGTAAATGCAGTTGGTGATGCATGTGGTCACAGGAAGTATTCCAAACGCACCCAAAAGTTCCATGCTGAGATTGTTAAAAATAGCAGCTATTTTCCTTTCATAAGATGCTCAAGGAGAGCTTCTCACAGCCAACAAATGACAACCTGTTTAATCCCTAGCAGACAGCCCCTACAATCAGAATGAAGGCAGCACCTTCCATGGAAGAGTTACTTAAGGGGCCATCCCGCCCGTCGAAACCTGCTATTTCTAGTTAATTTTCATTTCTTCTAAAAAAATTAAATGGTTGTCATGAAAAGGGTCTTCGGATTTTCTTACTTTTTCAGATGGGGATTGGTGTTGGGGGTAGGAAATACATGGAATTCTACAAGACCGTTCTCTTTTTCACTTTCAATACACACAGCTTTAATACCAGCTATTAACAGTACAGTACTTCCATAACTTCTTACAGGATGTGTGACATTACTGGTGTAAATTATATGGCTTTGTTCCAGAAGTGGAGATGTTATGATTCTTGTTTTCTTATGATAATACTGGCAGATGGTGTCAAAATTTATTACATTTTGGTATTCCCAAAACTTTCTTTGCCATCAAAATGTTCTGAAATAATCTATGTAAAAAGTTAAAATACTTGCATTGTGTAAAAATCAAATTGTTATTGTTATTGTTAACAATAATGTCCCCCAAGTATGTCCCTTTGATCACAAATTTCACAAGGGTGTAGGGTCAGAGGCTGTAATAAATACCATGCAGTTCACACCCAAAACACTGGAATTGATATTACGCTCAAAAAGGTGGTTTGGATGAACAAACCTATATTGATAATAGCCTTGCATTATTTATATGATAGTGTAATGGGGGGGAGGGGAGGGGAGGAAAAGGTTGATTTTTAAACAGTGTGTTTTGTGACATGACTGCTTTTGGTCCCCAGCCCCTTTCCCTACTTGCAGCTACCAATGCTTCTAAAGTTCAACTGCTTCAAAAGCCCATGTATCGTCCATCTGGAGAATGTTACGCATGTCGTATTGACAAAACTGCGCGGGATGGGACAACCCTCCTGTTTCCCTGTCCAAGTTTTCTATATCTCCAAAGAATGTATTGTCTGTATGCTGCTTTTTGAAAGCTTTCCATAGAAAAATTGAAATCATCTGCTCTGATGTCACAGCAAGCCTTTATACATACTTTGAAAATATCTCTGTCAAGGCAAATATTGTTGAAAACCTGGAAACGAGTTATGCAGTTGACCCTTTCGCAACAGAGATTTTCCTGGTCACTGGGCATAGGCTGGCAAACTCCACACCTGCACCACTCTGGAAAACTGTTGTTGCCTTGGCTTGGGGGAGGTGGTGGTGGTGCATTTTTCTCATCTAGCAACTTCTTTGCAAAGTCCAAACTCCCTCTTCCCATTGCCAAAACATTCCTGAGGAGGTACTCTATGTCCTGTCTAGTAAGCCTTGACAAAAATTCCTGGACCAAACAGAACATTGCAAAATGTGTAAATATTATAAGTATGAACAGAGAAACCAACAGAGGGCTGAAAATCCTACTCTGGGATCCCCCAGGTATAAACAGCATTCTGGTTTATTTTACTAATGTTTAGGTTAAAAGTTCTATGTAGACTACAGTGTATTTGTGAACGAACAATAAAAAAGTCTTCACCTCTATTTGTGTTGCTGAGGACTGCACCTCGTTGAACAACTGCACCTCTCCATCAGGATTCACTGGCATATTTAATCGTTCAGCCCCTGCCTCCTCACTTGCCTCTAATACAAAGATGCAATAAGCCAAAAAACTCTTCATGTAAGAAAATAAAATTGTTAAAATTTACCTTGTTTTTGCATTTTGCTTTATTGCAAAGGCAATTCGACATGCAGTTTTGGTTAGCCACCTCGCACGAACAAGAACCTCCGCCAGTTGTGCGTGCACACGCACCATTACATGAGCAGCGCACCTCTGCAGCAGCTAAGTCCTAAAAGATACACAATAAAAAGAGTATGAAAATGTTTCTTTCATTCCACAAATAGCAGCAGAGGCAAATATTCCGACAGCAAAATTCGACAATGAATGAAAGTTTTCCACGTGGATTTGTCACCTACCTTGGAGTCTTCAGAGTTTTCAGGTTCTTCTGGATCGATCAATGACCTGTAAATGTTTCATTGCTGCGATTCATCGTTGTTAATGGATTCATCGACTTCCATGAATAACCAATACCTATTTCTAGAATTATCAAGACAATTTGGCAGAGAAAAGAGACTAAACACCGCGCGCGAAGCTTTGAATGTGCAATAAGTTTCCCAACGAAAAAACAAGTCGAAAAAAATAGATAGCCAATCAGAGAGCGTCATTTAACAATAGAGCGGTTTGAAAACAAAAACAAACGACTGCATTGCATCAAGGATGAAAATGGGCCTTTAACTTTTCTAACATTTGATTTTGGGCTTGGTTCACTTGAAAGTAACTGCAGACTAAATATTGAATTTGTCTCCCTTGCATTTAATAGTGAAACAGTGAATTAGAGTGTTGATACATGTAATAATGACCACTAAACTAACTACAAAGCAAATTACTACCAAGAACCTTGAATTGAAAAGTAATTAAACAGAGAAGGCCAAAGATTAATGCACTGCAACGATTTCTCTACTGACTATAATTAATGACATCAAGATGACTGTCTTTCGTCTATAACAAGAACCATTTACGCTTCTTCCAACAGCACTGTTATACGCATTTAAATTGCATATTTGTTTAAGGTGGTAGCTATTTACATGTACTCTTCAGAATTCAAGTTGAAATCTAGCCACACCTTATAGTCTTGTTTGAATTCATTCCACTAGGTGGCTCATAGCCCTCTGCTACAGTTTACTCCACATTCAAATTATGAATCATTCAATTTCAGTCTATGCAGTGGTTACTGAATGACTTGCGCATTTGCATGACCTATTAGCTAATCCTGCATTAATAATAATAGTTGAGCATTGCTAATAGTATCGCTCTTGAAACTAATTTTAATACACCCCTGTACCTCCCATGGCAAGACAACTACATGATTTTGACCAATAAACTAATAATACTATGCAACTACAGAGTATGAATAGTGTACCTCCTGCTGCCTGGTTCTCCACAGATGGCCCTGTTTCCTCTACCATAGTAAAGAATGATCCAACCTTTCGACCGTCCAAAACTTGACGAATGACATAATCACTGCTGGTGCCATTTGCTATCACTACACTGGTACCTCTCTCAAGAGCCCATGCTGCAGCCTGAAAGGTCACACAAACAAATTAAGATCAAAAGAACAACTGCTAGGAAAAGCTGGAGATAGCTGACTAAAACTTAGCTGGATGTATTCACTAGGTTACTTACCTCTATAATTGAAGGCTTTCGTGCAAAAAGGAC